GAAATAAATTAAAACCCTAAAATTAGTTTTATCTTGGCATCAGAGTTGGTTCCGCCCTGTCTCTTTCTCAACCCTAATCTCAATTATTGCCAGTGTGAAAAAAAATAAAAATAAAAATAAAAAATTCTTGCTAGCTGCCCAGCCGACTGCAGAAAGTCAAGAGATCCTTGACTAGCTGCCAAAACCACAGACCAAAAGCAATTACCTGTTTTCAAAAGTTGAAAGTCTCGAGGCAAGAGACATTCATAAGAATCTTGAATTAGGATCAAAACAGATAGAAAAAAAAGAAAAACTAATGAAAATGATTTGAAAACTTTGAGTTTTAATGATAAGGACAAAATAAAGGGTAAAGTGAATAGTACCAAGATTGAATTTTTAGTGTAAAAATGTAGTTTTTCGTTAAAGTGAACAATATCATGTGCTTTTCGTTAAAGTTCCAAAAAAAAAATCACAAAAGCCACAACCTATTGTTGACGACAGGGTCACATCTGCTAGTGGGCTTACCAACCCATGCGAACAAGGAAAGGTTGCAGCGCCTGGAAGCAGGCCTGACCAGTCAGGGCCCAATGCGGAAAAGAACTTGCTGCAGCATCTGGAAGCGGGCATTCCAAGTCAGGAGCCCGACACTCCCATGGAAAAGCAACAGCAGACTATGCAGCCGGTCCAAAAGGCATGGGCTCAACCTGCCCACCCGCGGAAAACGGTCAGAAAGCAAACCCAGATGAATTGGGCCCGCAACTCTCTTTATTAAATATGATTGCTTCAAACAAGGAATCCGATGATCTAGGTTATACAGGCACAGCTTTGATTGCATCTATTGATCATGATATGGGTTGGATTATTGACTCCAGAGCTACTGATCATATGACTTATGATCATGCTTTATTTAAGTTTACAACACCACCACCCAAGGATAGTATACTCACTGCTAATGGACGTGTTGCCCCAGTTACAAGGGCGGGTTCGATTGCACTCACTTCTACTCTCTCCTTACACAATTGCTTACTTGTTCCCACACTCTCTAGCCATTTTTTATTTGTAGGACAAGTCACCTATCAATTAGACTGTGTTGTGCAAATGTTTCCATCTTTCTGTTTACTTTAAGATATCCGAACTCAGGCGATCATTGGGCGTGGTACTAAGAGGAGGGGGTTGTACTATGTTGATGATGTTACACAAGGTCGTGTTCATCAAGTTCAAGGTCGTGATAGTGGAAAGTTGAAGACTATTCAGTTGTGGCATCGTCGTCTTGGTCATGCTTCCTTTGATTATTTGCGAAAATTACTTCTGTCATTATTTGGTAATATTTCATATTCTTCGTTAAAGTGTAACATTTGCACATTAGCCAAAAGTCATCGAGCTTCTTATCCCCCAAGTTTGCATAAAAGAACAATTATGTTTGAGTTAATTCATTATGATGTGTGGGGGCCATCTCCGGTTACTACTCAGCATGGTGTGCGTTGGTTGGTAACATTTGTTGATGATTGCACTAGGATGACTTGGTTGTACCTCATAAAAAATAAAAGTGATGTGGGTGACATATTCAAAGCATTTTATCACATGGTCTATACTCAATATTCACTCTCTGTTAAAGTGCTTCGGTCAGACAACGGTGGTGAGTATCTTAATTAGGAACTTTCTCATTTTTTTTTTACAGAAAACGGCATTCTTCATGAAACTATGTGTCCTCAAACCCCACAATAAAATGGAGTTGCCGAACGAAAAAACCGGCACATCCTTGAGATTACTCGTGCCTTTCTTATTGGTAGTTGTGCACCCAAGACATATTGGGCTGATGCAGTCACTTATGCTATTTATATCATGAACCGAATGTCATCGCGTGTTCTCTCTTTTAGAACCCCTCTTAGTCGTGCTTGCTGATCATGTTTTGCTCCCTTCCACTCTTCACCTCGAACCCCAGGTTTTTGGTTGTGTGGCATATGTTCATCTTCACAAAAATCAAAGAAGCAAGCTTGATCCATGTGTGGTACGGTGTGTGTTTCTTAGCTTTCATCCTCAACAAAAAGGCTATAGATGTTATCATTCATCCACTCAATATATATACGTCACCATGGATGTTACCTTCTCTGAAGACGAATTATCTTTCCTTTTAGCCATACTCATCAAAGGGAGACAACCTCAGGTGAAGATTATGGTTGGTTTGATATTGTGCCTACTGTTTCTGTAAATAGCCCAAATGAGAAATTTAGACCAAATCGGCCCATATGCTACTGACCAAACTGGCCCAGATGAAGCTAATTGTGATTGCCCTGATGGGCGTGCTGACTATGGCAGAGGGAATGGGCTAGGACCGTGTAATTCTTGCCCAAGTGGGCCGCATGTTGTACCCAGCGAGAATAATGATGGGTATCATGCTGACGCTGCTGTCTACAGCCCAAATTATGGTGGTGTTGGTCTAAATGGGCCTTCAAGGGTGATAATTGCCCTAAATTCAAGTGATAGTTCCAATGAGTTAGAAGACAATAACAAACTCCCTTATACTCTAACGGATATTCCAGAGGTAAGTACTCACTCGAAAATTATTGAACCATCTTATATATTGAACCACCAGACATGTACTCTCTAGAAGGAAATGTGCGGTATTCCATTTCAAACTATGTCTCTACTTATCGACTTTCACCGAAATACTGTGCATTTGTTCAGCAAATAGAAACCCACTAGAGTGGAGGAAACTTTGAAAGATTCGAAGTGGACAGAAGCAATACAAGTTGAAATGGAAGCACTACAAAAGAATAATACATGGAGTGTGGTCCCACTTCCCAAAAGAAAGAAATCAGTGGGGGTGCAAGTGGGTGTTCACTATTAAACATAAGGCTAATGGAACAATTGATAGATATAAGGCGAGGCTTGTGGTGAAAGGTTTTACCAAAACTTTTGAGGTTGATTATCAGGAGACTTTTGCTCCTGTTGCAAAGATGAATACCATTAGAGTTTTATTATCTCTTACTGCGAACCATGACTGGCCTCTGAGACAATTTGATGTTAAAAATGCTTTTCTGCATGGTGATTTAGAGGAAAAGGTGTACATGGATATTCCACCAGGTTATGACATTGCAAACTCCAATCGGAAAGTGTGTAGACTTTGGAAGGCATTGTATGACCTTAAACAGTCACCAAAAACGTGGTTTGAGTGGTTCACCCAGGCAATGAAGAAGTATGGGTATCGACAGGGAAACGCAGATCATACATTGTTCATCAAACGCAAGGATGGCAAGGTAACTCTGCTTATCATATATGTAGATGATATGATTGTCACAGGTGATGATACAATGAAAATCAAACGTCTGCAAGAGCATTTGTCTTCTGAGTTTGAGATGAAAGATCTTGGAAGACTTAAATACTTTTTCGGAATTGAAGTGGCTAGGTCTCAGGAAGGATTATACTTATCTCAGAGAAAGTGTGTATTGGATCTTTTGTCTGAAATTGGTATGCTAGGGTGTAAACCAGTGGATACACCTATTGTGCAGAATCATTATCTAGCAATTTATTAGGATCAAGTCCCAGTGAATAAGGAAAGGTATCAAAGATTGGTATGGCGGTTGATCTAGTTATCTCTTACAAGGCCAGATATTGCTTACACAGTAAGTGTAGTGAGTCAATTTATGCATGCTCATAGTGAGGATCATATGACAACAGTAATGCGGATTCTGAGTTACTTAAAATGAGCTCCAAGAAAATGGTTGATGTATAGAAAGCATGGGCATATGGAGGTGAAAGGGTATACCAATGCAGATTGGGCTGAAAATATCACTGATTGGTGGTCTACATCGGGATACTTCACATTTGTAGCTGGTAATCTTGTGACATGGAGAAGTAAGAAGCAAAATGTGGTGGCAAGGTCTTCGGTTGAGGCTGAGTACAGAGGAATGACACATGGTATTTATGAGCTTCTATGGCTTCGGATTCTACTCACTGAGATAGGGTTTAAACCAAAAGGTTCTATGTTGTTGTACTGTGATAATCAAGCAGCACGGGAGATAGCTAACAATCCAGTGCAGCATGACAGGACCAAACATGTTGAGGTGGATAGACATTTTATCAAAGAAAAGTTGGATGTTAAGTTGGTTAACATTCCGTTCGTGAAGACAAAAGAACAGTTGGCAGATATTCTAACTCATGCAATTTCTGCAAGAAGATTTCAAGACTCACTTGACAAGTTGGGCCTAGATGATATATATGCACCAACTTGAGAGGAAGTGTTGGCGTAAGTCAACAATAATATAATAGGAATGTAATTGTGTTTCCTAATTTGGATATAACTCTCTTTTTATGTCTTTAATATTCCTTGTAGTACAAGGATTGAGTATGTATATATATGTGTGTTGCCTCCTATGAGAGAAGAATATAGAGAAATATATTAAAACCCTAAAATTAATTTTATCTAAACATTGTTCTACAACTTGCAGCTTCTTTCATCTTAATCTTCATCTTCGGTTTTGCAATTGTTTCTCTCGTGTAGATTATTGGATCTAAGGCTTCTTGCTTTGACTATATTTGAAAGGCTTTTTGTGAATTGGGTTGTTTGGAGGGTGTTTGATTTGGTTGAGCAAGTTTGTTTAAGAAAATAACTTGATTGTTCTTGATAGTAAAAGCTGCGAGGTATTTGAGAAATTCATGGGGATGAAGATGAAGATGACATAGTGTTATAAACTGAAGGGAGATTATTCACGTTATATCAACAACATAACAATTTCGTATTGACAACTATTTATAGCTATTATCAACAATATCAATATTATTGTGTGAGATATTCAAAATATCAACAATATCGTTCTTATAGACACCGTTTCAACAATATACACATCTCAATAATATATTTATACCCGAGTACTTTAGACATTTCCATTATTTCGCCCTATCATTTAGGTTGTTTTTCTATTTCAGCAACCAAAGTTTAAAATCTTTTAATTATAGCATTTGCTCTCTGGCATTGGCATTGGCGTATTAAAGAAAATGACACAACGTAAACAAAAATCCCATAAAGAACAAAAGAAAATGGCCCTTGAGGACCACTATTTATATGACCAATATTGATCCCACCATCTCCAATAATTACACATTTGACAATCCACTGAAATTAACCCCTTGAATGAATATATGATAGTCAATGTGATTGATCGAGCTTGTGATCATGCAGTCCAATTCCCATGATTGATCGAGCTCGTGATCATGCGGTCCAGTTCCCATCACTAAATACCAGGAAAAGACCATGCTATATATACCATATAGCTATGAATCAAACTATATCGAAACCATACAATTTCATGATAAGTAGACCCCAGAAACAGATAGTTTTTGGAATTAATCAACTCCCTAAAATAATAGATATATTCAATTTTTGTTTTCCATGTAGTTAAATTAGAGATATTTTCAAGCGACAAACACAAACATACGCAAAAGATTAAGTCCACGGATATTTGAGTGAGATATTTGTTGAGATATTTCGTCCTCTCTTTTTGTTGAGTTGATATCTTCACGTCGCAAATCAAACCCTCTTCACAAATCGACCCTGCAACACCAAAGAAATATAACAAAAAATTAATTTCAAACTTTCAGAATATTAATTAGCTAGGGAAAAAAACGAGAGAGATATAGGGAGGAAGACAAAAACCTTGAGTCTAGGTCTTTTATCTGCATTGAGCTTGCGGACTTGGTACCTTATCTTTTTGGAGAAGAGCCTAGACTGGCGTTTCTCCTTGTACCTTAGAACACTTGCCTCTCTTCTTGTCTTGTCTTCTTCCATTACCGGCACCTCGCCCATCTGATGATCATACACAATTAATTAACATAATTAAGATTAATATAACATTCTGGTTAATTAAGAGGCTCATGATATATGCAAAACCCACTTGATTTATTACAATCTGTGGAGTTTGGTACTTAAAACCAATCTCAATTGATAGTGTGATCCTGTGGGGAAAAAAATAAATCAATACAATAATTTACATACTACAAACAACAAACTAAATCTCATTCACCTAAAAATAGAAAACTAAATTGTAGAGCATTTAAAAGGGGTTTCCACACCTCAAGCATTTTGAAAAGGGAAGCGCTATGTGCTCATTTTTATGACGAGTGTTATTTACTCTTCTTTACGGAAGCGAAAAGAACAACAGAGAGTGTGAATAGCGAATCTCTTTTGAAACAAAGAAGAAAGAATGCAGAAGAAATGCATGTTATATCAATGAGATCCATTTTATTTAAAATTGGGGAAATAAGAACTATGAAACAAGGTCAGAAAATACTAAAAGGATGATAATATATAATAAAGTTAGTCAAGCACTAACATAATTGCCATTGCTAGCCATGGAAGAAAGTGAACAATCATCTGCCCAAAGAGAACCACGATCCGACCAAGCATCCAAAACCTCTTGATAATTCAAATTCAAATTCAGTTGCACCTTCTTCTCATCATCATCATCCCAAAACCCTACACTCTCACTCTTTACTACTTTTTTTTTGTAGTAGCTCTCCTCTTCAAAAAAGCACTTATTAGTGCCTTGATAAACCTTTTGCTCTATCTCCTCCCCTTCTTCTTCTCCATTGGGAAACTCATCCCAATCCATAAAATCCCAATTGAGCTTGTGCCCGCTGTACATGTTATCGCTCGGCAATTTTCCATCTTCTTCCTCTTCGATTCCCAAAATTCGCTCCCAATCATCCATGATATCAACCTCATGATCATTGTCTCCATTGGTGTAAACACAATCTAATTTTGTATTAGTAGTGTCAGAGAATTCTTCACCAGAATTATGGGTACAGTCCGGCACTTGTTGCTCTTCCTTCTTTGGGCTTCTTAAGAAAGAATGGTACCTCATCTTATCTTTGTCCACTCTCTTTCTACTACCCAAATTTGAATGTAACAGATGATGAGAGATGTGAGAATAAAGATGTAAGTGGGAATTTGTATGTATGGTATGTTTATCCTATGTGGCATCTTATCTTCTAGCCATTGGTTGGTTCAAGGCCTGAATATATATCAGTTGAAAGACTCCAGCTAGGAAAACTGACAAAGGCTAAAGAGGACCCTACGATTACATGCCTTTTTACTCCATGAAAAGAGGAGTTGGGGACCAAATGAAAGACTTGTTGAATTGTTGCATCAAGAAGCACGTGACCTAAAAGGGTTGATAAAAGCAATAATTTAGATATTTGATCAATGAAGGCTTCGACGTTCAAGCCCATCATCTCTTAGCCATATTGCCTTAGATATTTAGTGTGTGATATATGTAACAAAGACTTTTGGGCTGCTGTGAGACAATGTTCTTGACTAGAATAATTGATATAGATACACAGAGGGTGTGAGCTTAGTGCTTTCGGGTGAAAACATTTCTGTGATCTTTCTTTTTTTTTTTCTTTTTTTTTTGTGATTCTCCTAAATTAGTTTGATATTTTAAATCATCTTATTATTTGCAGTTATCATGCATGTCTATCACAATTTAGTACCTTACGCGGGAGATAACTAGGTCGTTGTAACAGTTCGGGCTTCAAGGTATTTGAGAACCACATATTGAGTTGTGCTATCTATAGAAGTTAGAGAGAGGAAGACAAGGCTCTTGTAGTATTCGAGTATCAAGAGCATGATAGTTTCAGTCTACTAAATTAAATATATTATTGAACATATTTCAATCACACAATCTGATATTCAGTCTATTAAATAAGTATGTTATTGAACATATTTCAATTTTACAATCTGATTTGAACATATCTGTGTACTATCCTAATGAGTTTTCACCCCCCCCCCCCCACATAGCCACTTTGGAAAGTGATGTAACAGAAACCTAGGGTGGCTGAGAATTTTTAAGCATTTTTGTGGGTTTGTGGAGAGAAATGTGTGAGTGAGATTTAAGCATTTTTGTGGCTACTCCCCTTGACGACTGGTTTGTGGATAAAGATTTAAGTTTTATTTTTACCAAAAAAAAAAAGATTTAAGTTTTATGGAGAACAATGTATGAGTGAGATTTTTGAAACATTTATCTCATGTTACCTTATTTTAGAAAACATTTGGATCTTGTAATGCAACATATATAGAAATGTTTGTTTGATTGACTAACTGTGAGGATGTGTGAAGGTAAAAAAGTCTCACACTAATGAAAGAAAAAACATTGCAAGGACTTATAAGAAGTTGTGCCACTCCCCTTGACGATTGGTTTTATGGTGGAGTCTCAACTTTCTTTATGGTATCAGAGCAGGTTAACCGACATGTGAACCCCAACAGCCACAGGTGCTCCACATTACCCAATTCATGGTGTCCACATGTTTTGCTTAAAATTCGCCGCACGTGAGAGGGTGAGAATGTGAAGATGAAATAGTCTCACATCAGTGAAAGAAGAAACTTTGCAAGAGTTTATACAGGCCCTTTAAGGGAAGGGATCCCCATTTTTTTTTTCAAAAAATAGGGATTAGTTGTGGGACCCACTCCACATCAAACTTCAATGATCCAACAGTCTATTTTGTAAGTTTCAATTCATAGACCATCATTGCAAAAATCAATTCAATCTGAAACCATTTGCCTATTTAATTATCACAATGAAATTTCAATATTTCTTAGAGAAAAAAATGTTGGACAATTTCTTTAAACACAAATAGATGCCTCAAATATTTCCGATTTGGCTAATATTTTGCAAGAATAATGATCTATGAGGTGCAACTTGGTAAATAGATGGTTCGGTTAGTTAAAGTTCGATGTGGTGTGGCCTCACAACTATCCCCTTTTTATAAAAAATAAAAAATAAAAAAAATGAATCCCTTCTCTTCCTATATATGTATATATTGTTTTTGTATACACATATTGTGAATGTGGATCACTGTATCATGATAATGTCTGCCAAGATGTGCAATTCAGATTCAGGGTATTTAATTACCTGTCAACTTTGCATCAGTTTCTAATCAACCGTGTTTAGCTGGTTTCCTCGTAAACTTCCAGTCCACTCATGTGAATCAATACGAAGCCAACTTTCACTGTACTTCAGAAATTTTAATATTCCATAGAGGAAAAAAGGTGTTTTCTATGTCAACACACGCATACAGCCATCGCCCATACATTCCAAGGCGTGTTGCCTCGACAGTTCATTAGGCGACCATAGATTGGTGTTTGATATAATACAATTTCAAGTCATAAATATTATTATTCTTAATTAAAATATACTGATCATTGTGGTCTAAATAACATTTGTTTTCGTCTAAAAAAAACAATATTTGTTTTGTATTAAATATTTGAAGAGAACAGCGTACTTCTTTGGAGATTGTAGCTCCTCATGTGAACACGTTAGAGCAAGCAGCTGCAAGCTGTATTAATTTGTAGGGGGTTTCGAAACATGCTCGTTTGAGGCACCATGCACTCTGATCAGTCGAGATTTGGAACGCAAAAACAGAATATATCACTTGTCAACATAATATTTGCTTAGTCAAGACTCCATCAAGGCTTTGAAATTTAGGAGTCATCGATCACATAATTCTGATGAATAGTTTGGTTAACTAGTATCGTATGCATGGCTTCAACTTTCTTCAACCGATCAAAGATTCATCTAAACAGTATATTTTATGGTAAAATTTCAACACTCTTCACTTATATACCTCATGGTAACATAATTAGAATTTGAAAGTCGGTTAAATACTAACTTTTTTTAACAAAAAATATTATCTACACTAAGTGATGGGGGATGGGCTAAGCTTCATAATGGGCTAGCAATAATGTGGTTCAAATTCGCCTTTGATGAGAATCGAACCTAAGACTTCTCTTTTACAAATGAGGAGGAATACCAATGACCATAGTACTAAGTGGCCGTTACATCCTAAATTAGAAACAAAATCTGATGAAATTTCTGTTGTTTCTTCACTGTTTTCTTATGTTTACAAATCTCGTTAAAATGATATACAATTGATTATGCTATAAAAAGAAAAACTCTTTGATACGAGTGAAATTAAATATTTTCACTGCAATTATACTTGAAATTAATTTTGATATGTTTAAAGTTCCACGGAGAATCTTTTGTGCAATTTTTTTTAAGTTTAAAAAATAAAAAAGAAATTTTATTGTCACTTAGTACTACAGTCTACTCATCTCCACTTCAAAAAAAAAAAAAAGATCGTACCCCAAAAAAAAAAGAATATATAAGAAGTGATCAACGTTAGATAAAATCTTTAATAGAAGAGATTGTTAACTACATTACAATGTTTGGGAATTGAAGGGAAAATCAAGAAGAAAGGATGGATGAACACAGAGATATTAGAGAGAGAGAGAGAGAGTTTAGAGAGAGAAATAGGATTTGTATTAAATAACCCAAATGAATATTACACACTCTGTTTTTATAAGAGAAATCCTAACTACTTTAACCAAATACTAACAAACTTACTAACTATATTTCTAACTGTATTACTTAATAGAGATGTTAAAACATTAGATCAAATCTAACATTACCCACAATGCAAGCAATCTATTTTTTTAATACAAGTAATATTATTAAGCGAAGTGGAAATTAAACTTAGAATCTCATGTAGAAAAGTGATGTTCTTAATCGATTGAGCTGCAAACCTTTTCAAGCATTAAGATAGAAAATGGCCAAAGACGATAAAAAGGGAAAGCTTGAGACCAACAAAAAAAAAACATAAAATGGAACATAGTTGTATAAAACATGAATTTGAGTACTAATGAGACGAGGAGTACGGGAGACCAAAACAAAAGGCATCTGCATAAAAGAGGATGCACCGTGCACCGTTCGCTTTTTTATTTTACCCCAACAAAATTTCCTCGAAATCTGATTAATGCTCTAGAACAAAAGGCCTCTTTGCTTGTACCCACATGTGAAGAAGTTAGGGTTTCACTATAAGATCAATTGATGATATGAGAAGTAGCTTAACATACTAATATGTTCATGTAAGGTCCATTCTCCTATCAATGTCAGATTCATTCTCAACACACTCCTTCATTTATGGCAAATTATCAAGCTTAACACGTGGACAAAACAAATTGAGACACGTAGAGCACTTGTGGCCATTTGGCTTCGCACCTGGGACAACCTGCTATTATACTGTTTAGACTCGAAATAGTGGGCTTAGGCCGAGTGTGACTTTGTGCTCGACCCAAAGTGAAAAGCCTTGAGTATACATGATAGTTTTTTAGATAGAAGTCTAGCCCAAGGTGAGTTAACCGAATTCTAGACAATGTTGAATTCTTTAAGAGTTAGGATTGGATTCAGCTGAGTCCTGAAACAAGTAGGAGTCTTCGGGATTGGGATCTGCTTTATTAGGATTCGTAATATTCCAGGAATCTAGGTTCAAAGTTGATAAGGGTCATGAATGAATTAAATACATTAAAAGGACTGGGTTCAGAGTCCTAAGTCTGGTAGGATTGGTCGAGGTTCATACAAGGATCATAACGGATTGGTGTTGATAAAGTACAATCCAGATGAGACTTTACTTCAGAATGATCTGCAGAAAATCACTTCTATAAATAGAAGACGGTCTGTAACATTCAAGGCATCTTCAAATTAACAAACAAATATGCCATGCATAATTTCTCGCTATACATGAAACCCTTTCATCTTTGAGAAAACAACTGACATTCTTAACTTTGTCAAGCATATCTCTCAATTTGTAGAAACAGCTATCTGATTGACAATTGGCAACATCTCTCATTTTGTATAAACAATTCTGGAGCTGTAGAGTCAGGTGAGTGAGGAGCATCTTTTAGTTTGTAGAAACAGCTCTACCCTAAGTTCATTTGACTACCTATCCAAGTTTCTATTAGCAAGGAATCTTTGAGTCCTTGTTTGAAAAGGTCACCTCGTTAGCTTTCTTAGCAAAGCGAAGTGTCATTAGGTTACGTTGTTCGGCTATTGAAAGCCAAATTTATTTTATGATTGGATTCACAAGTGCATTTTAGAGACCGGCATTCTGCCAGCCGAACCACATTTACGATAAAGACACTTATCTCTATTGAGTA